TTTGTAATGATAATTACAATCCCCTATATCCTAGTGAGAAGGATTATAGGGACCATATTTAATTCACTCACTGTCCTAGAAACATTGCCACGTTCTGTAAGAACGCATTTTTCTGATGTTGAGGTACGTTTATCCGAGTGACTAAAATTTGTTTAAGTAAACGCAAATTGCAAATTCGTACTGTTTTAAGCTTTAACTATTAAAGGAGTAATAGTCAATCGCTAAGTATGATTTAAGTTGCACCAGTGACTCGTTATTTTTGAGAGTGTGATGTTAAAACTTCTTATGATGGCCGCTAATAACTACTGATCTAAGAATACTTAAGAGAAACATAATCTTCAGGGTTTTATTGTTTGTTACTTTGTTGTTGTTGAGCATGCATATTATTTTACTACTGAACAGGATCCAGACGTAGAAGCACTGGTCCTATGTCAGAGAGCTCACTTTGAGAGCGATGTGGAAAGTCATTAACAACCAATCATAAAACCGGAACTAATATTTAAAATTCCATCGAACTCCAGTCAAAAAGTAATCGTAAAACGTTCTGCGATCTAAACGTCGAGCACATTCGTGTTTCTCACTCAAACATTTGTACGATAAATATTTGACCAGATTGATATCTTCCACCTGATTTCAGTCTACCTGTGCTAGTTGACTTTCAGTCTCAGTGACCATTGTACCGATGGTGGTGAAGCTTGATGGGCAGTCTTCTCAAGGTCTTATTTCTTTTTACATCAAAGCAGCCGCGTACGCAGATGCCTAAATGCAAGGGCACCACGGCTGCTATGAGGAGTTTAAAGAAACTTTGTTAATCCTATAACTGAGAAAGGCCTCCTCCTGCAGATTGTTCCACAATCTCAGTCTGGATATACGAGGTTCGACACGGTTAGGATGGGAGGTTGAAGTTTAGCAGGCACATCGTGCGACAGAATCACGGAGGAGAGATTTGAGAAGCCAAGCCCGTTGGGGTAGCGGTAGAAGAGATCTAGATCGCCGACGGCCAGCTGGTGTGAAAGGGTCCCGAGCCTGTCCGTTGGACAGGAGTTACCGATCAGTCGCTCAGCCCGTCTCTGAGCAGCATCGAGCATGACTAATGTAGTCGATGCGGCGGCACCCCAAACATGTGAGCAGTACTCGAGACTAGGCCTTATTTGGGCCTTGCACGGAGTCACAGTGTCATGATGATGATTTTTTAAAAGAGTAGACTGTAATTATGGGATAATGCTATAAAATGAAGGAACTATGAATTGTGTGTAAGAATGTGTTTATGAAAAACGTGTACGACATAATATATAAAGTTATCCACAGCGCGGATCCAGGAGAGGGCAACGGTGACATTGCCCCCTCCCCATGCCTCTTACATGCAGAAAAAATGAGGAAAAAAAATGGGAGAGGATATAAGGAAATAAAGGGGGGAAGGGAGGGTAAAGGAGGAGAGAGAGAAGGAAGTGGGAAAACGAAAATGAAGTTGTGTCTTCTCATTTGAGCACAAACGGATTGACAATACCCCCTGAAAGATGGTAACTCAGACTATTTAAAAAAATGATTGCTAAATGATCAACAAAACTAGACTATAATATCAGTTCAAGGGTTAACAACATTTGACAGAATCTCAAAACAACCCTACAATGCACCGTATGCGTCTCGAACGCACAATAAAACAGAATACTGAGATAGCTTTTAACAATTTTGTTACCTACTGTATACAGGGTTATCCAAATTAAGTGTCCACCATTAGTAACTTTGTTATTAGTGAAAATACAAAGTTGTTTGAATTAGCAAACTAGTAGCATTTTTAACGCTGGTAAAAATGAGAAATAAAAAAAAACAATTGAGAGTCGTTATTTTGATTTTTTTCAGTAAAATAACATTTTTTTAAATGGAAACCCCTGTATATTATATTTTTTTCTGTTAAAGCATCAAATTTTAAACAAAAAAGCTTACAATAACTTTTCTCCTAGGTTACAAATTGTTGAAGTTATGGCCTCCAATCTGAAACAATTAAATTGTATCGACAAACTTTATTTTCAACATCAACTTATAATCTTACAAAATACAATAACAATTTTTTTTAAAGAAGATGCTCGAAAACACCACCTTGTTCTTCAATACATTTTTGGGCACGTTTTTCAACTGCTCGAACTGTCTTAAGTATGGTCCTACCATCTATCTGGGTTATCTTTTCCCTAACTGCAGTCTTTAACGCGTCAAGGTTATCGTACCTTCGCTTGTAAATTTGGTTCTTTAAGTAACCCCACAAGAAGTAATCAAGTGGGTTTAGATCTGGTGATCTGGGAGGCCACTGTATTGGGCCATTTGTTCCTATCCACTGATCATTAAAAGTAGTACTTAGAAAATGATAAGTACCTCTGGAGTTGTGGGCAGGTGCGCCATCTTGCTGAAAATGCAGATGATGTCTACTTATAAGATCCAATTCGTCTAAGAAATTAGTCAGAATTTCTGACATAAATTCCACATATCTTTCACCAGTTAGGGTTCCCTTATAAAAGAACGGGCCAACAATTTTTGAACCAATTATACCGCACCAAACGTTGAAACTGAAACGGACTTGTGGGCCTCTTGGATGTACTAACAAAAGATTTTCTCTTGACCAATAATGGTGGTTTTTTCTATTAAACATTCCAGAATTTGAAAAATTTGATTCATCTGTCCATAAAAGGTAACGAAAGTTATTTACATTTTGGCGACAGAAGCTAAGATACCAATGGCAAAAAACAAGTCTTCTCTCTGGATCCCCTGCCAAAAGCGTTTGAACTGGTCGGTACTTATACGGAATAAATTTGTATTTTTTTGAAATCCTTTGAACAGTACCATAACTGAAATTAGAGTCCTTGAGAATATCTGCTATTGAATTCTCACGATAAGCTTCAAAATATCCAATAACTGCAATTTCCGTGGCCTCGCTTATTATGAATTCTTTTTTTGCCCTTGTTTTAGCAAAAACATTTTCGTTGCCCCTAAATTTTCGATAAAGTCTCAGAAAATATCGTTCATACGGTTGAATGCGAGCGGGATATAATTCACTGTAGTATTCTCTTGCTCTCAAGGAGGATTTTCTGCACACTAAATAGCATTCTAACATATCACACTTTTCTTCATGGGAGAACATTTTTCTTTAAATTAATGACACAATAAAGCTTATAAACTAGTATTTACACTAATGTTTGACATTATTTGATTTTATCATTGTTTTCCAAAGCCTTCTAGTTGCGAGTATGTCCAGTTTAACAATTTGTCGCTTATCTTAATGCTGTCAAATCGCGAACGCCATGTTGTTTTCATAGCCGTCTTAATATTATAATACTGCAAATAATTAAAAATATTTATCGTTATTTTGACTTTATTTTTGACTTTAGCGGAAAAGTCATTATGAACTTTTTTGTTTAAAATTTGATGCTTTAACAGAAAAAAATATAATATACAGGGGTTTCCATTTAAAAAAATGTTATTTTACTGAAAAAATCAAAATAACGACTCTCAATTGTTTTTTTTTATTTCTCATTTTTACCAGCGTTAAAAATGCTACTAGTTTGCTAATTTAAACAACTTTGTATTTTTACTAATAACAAAGTTACCAATGGTGGACACTTAATTTGGATAACCCTGTACATATAGTGCTAGGTGGATCAATTTATACTTACAAAAATGACTTTTCTATAAATCATCTGTATTTTTCCACAGCGTACGTGATAAAAAAAGCAATGTCGTCATTTTTATTAAATAGGTGTATCTAACTCCACTACCAAAGTCCATTAGCAAATTCTATTCAGCAATTTGCACCTATTATGATTGGTTGTTGGGGTAATATGATATCTATGATATAATATATAAATATTCTGGGAATTTGTACAGGTCAAAATAATTTGTTTACATTGTGTCTGCGTGTCCAAAATGTGCAGTCACTAGATACAATCACAACCTGACGATGCAGATTCCAAATTGGTTTACTGCCCAAAGTCTATTCAGTAAAAACAACAGTAGATATTTTTCTAATCCTGGAATCAGAGGTTTATTAGATTTTTTCTTAGTTTAACTGCATCCACCTGTTTAGTAGACATATTACTTTTGAAATCTGCGAGTCCAGCAAGAAAAGCTTCCTAATTTCAGCTTAAAATTGAATGTCACAACACAGCTACAAAAAAAGGCATCAAGTAGGTTGCCTCTGCACTTCCTACGCATCGCCGTCATCAGTTCATAGAGAATTAAGCTCAGTAAAAGTTGAGCCAAAAAGATATTTGCAAACATGTGCAATAGAGAAATTAAACGGATCAAATCAGTCAAACAGGCCCATAGACATTGTTTCCCTGTTCTACCGGTATTTATCGTTCACCTGGCAACGTTGCCCCTTTACATATATCGTCAGTCGCGACAGTTCCCACCGAAGCATCGCCGCAGTACGAACAGAACAATCAAGCAGACAGTTACGCAGGGCGCTGAGCCCAGATAGCCGAAAGAGATGCGTATCGAAAAGCTTTAAAAGCACATGTAGGGGGAAACCTATGATGAGGAAATATGGGCAATAGGTGGAATTACCCGGGTTGGGAGCATATAAATATACTAAAATTAAAAAAATGAAATATAGCCTTTCCGACACCCTAATTTTTTATGACCAAAACTTTTTTTCAAAGCTTTTTTGTCCTTGACGTAGTAGAAACCGGGTGTAAAAATTTCAAGCGGTACTTTCTACACCTACCTGTAAGTTCCAACGATTATCAGACAGATTTACAGGCAGACAGACAGGCAGACAGACCAACATACGCGAGTGACATAGATCTTCGTGATGTATGGTAGGCGTTATGGAACATCAAATAAACGCCTGCATACGCGAGGAGTAAAATTTGCTTAGGTTCAAAAACTCGAATTTTCTCAAGTCTTTTCAGGTCCTGAATATTATTAGTCGTATTTACAGATTATTTAGCGCCCCATTTTATGGTTATATGAAATGCCTTTTGCGTCTCCTACATCATATATTTTATTCCTTACAAAATAACACAAAGGGGCAAGCCACCCGCTGCATTCATTTGCGTTGAAGGGGGAGAGGATGCTGTAATACTCGTCATCTCTGAGCTCTCACTGGTTTTCACTGTACTATTTGAGAAGGCGTTGAGGATTTCGTCGATCTTCCTCTCATCTTCAGGCGTCATTTCTTTCTTACTGTTACTGGCAATATCTGCTTCTTCTTCCCTCAAAGTTGTCAAGGTCTTCCGGAGAGCTGCTTTTTCTGTCTCTATATCCAAGATCTTTTGTTGGAGCTTATAATACTCGCTTGCTATCTCCTTCTTAGATTTATCTAGTACTACCTTGAGGTGGCTCAACAACTTCGATCGTTCCTTCTCTAATTCCAAGACCTTCTCAAACAGGTTTTCGAACTCTTTCTTAGCTACGCCATTTATTGCTCGGAAGATTGCCTTCTTTAGATCCGATTTTATTACATCGCTTACGGACTTCCTCGATGAGCACGACTTACTGTTTTCAATAGCTCCGAGTAGCTCTGTCTTCTTTGATTCCAGATTGACAATTTTTCGCTGTAGGAAGTATCTCTGCCTTACCAAAGCATGTTGACCAGTTCCTTCGGCAAATGTGTTGTTGAGTTGGAGGATATTTTTCAATAACTTTGCGTTAACGTTTGGCTGTGTGAGGAGAAATTTGAACTCGGAATATTCTCTTTTCAATTGCTCCATATCTTTAATCAGGCTACTAACGAGATTTACTAATAGATCCACTTTCTTTCTTAGCTCGATGTTTTCGTTCTCCAACTGCTTGAATTTTGTAAATACTGTTTCATTTTCCTCCGAGACCAGTTGCTCCAGATCTTCTTGCATCTTATTCTTTTCGTCTTCGATGAGTTTAATGGCATCTTGTAAAAATTGCGTTTCTATTTCTACATCGCTCCCTGTTTCTGATTTGTTGGTAATGTCCAAAGCCGAGTCTAATAGATATTTAAACTTGATATTTTGACTTTCTAGTGAGTTGACCCGCTCCCGTAACTTTTCCAATTCATCTTCAAATTTCATACTAACAGCCTGAAAATTTCATATATTTCGAGACTAAAACCATACTGACAATTGTGACACATATAAGAGATGGCTAACGTCTGCTTGACTGAAGGCGAGATGCTGTTCTTCGCATACAGATTGTTTTCAATAGACCGAAAAGTCCACGAAATTCCGTCAAAAATTGTACAAACAACTTTTTAGATATTTACAAGTTTTTTTTGAGTCATTCTGGCCAGAAAGTTCTTATAAATTTATTTCTTGAGTTGATACTCGGAAAAATGTGATTTAGTAATTGTGAAAATTTTAAATATATCATTTTATATCTCGTAAAGCACTATGAAGAAACGAAATATTTAATGTTTCCAAATATCCTAGGTATTCTTTAAACAAAATCCCGAAGCACTTTAGTTGATATTGATATTATAAGCATTTGTGCTAATCAAGCACGCGCTCAATGAATATTCTATATGAGCGCGAAAGAGATGTATTTGTTTGAATAAAGTGTGAACACACCCTAACGTGTGTAATAGGCTTAAGATATTATGTCATATAGAATGTCACTTGTCATCACTTGTCACTTGTCCATCGACCGACTCGTGAAATGTACGCTCCAAAACATTGAATAAAGGATTTGCGTAAATCTACATGCATCCGTTGTTTAATATAAACCAGTATTGATTGTAAGAGATATATTTTTTCCTTAATATTGTTTTTCCGGGTCATACATTTCATACTTTTTCAAGTATTAAATCGGTTATATCTCCAAAACTATGAACTTTAAGGGAAAGTTCAAGTGACAAAAATACAAAAAAAAAAACTTCTACCAGAGCTAAAACATTTTTGACGTAATTTTGGACATGATAACATGCAGATTCGTCTAAAGGTGCCTTTTTGATGAGATTATTCAAAACACATAACAGAAAATATTTTTCCGATATAAACTGGGGCAACGGCAAGTAAAGATGATGTCAAGGTATTACCAATGGAAAAGTTGTGAATAAAGCGTCAAAAAGCCATGAGAGAAGGTACATTGCAATGTAGACAATTATTTTATCTAAATATGATTTGACGTGATGTGACGTTACTCCTACAAACTATTGAGGTTATGGTCAACCATTATGGCAGTTGTAAAATAATATATCATATGGTCTCTCTAACGTATTCGATAATAAATTGTCTGAGCACCGGTGCATTAAAGGTGTGTTCATACTGTGGCCGCTGACTTGTCGGTGACTCTGTCTGGGATCCCGCCGTGTGAATTCTGCCTATACAGCGTATCGGTCACTGACAGGTTGGCGACTGCTATACGATCAAGTTTTAACCCTTAACCGATCATGTGGAGTCTAACAGACCCCGCAGTAAATAATCTATCCCGTATCTTCCACGGTAGTAACGCCTCCTGGCCAATCGGGTCACCTAATCACTCGCCTATTGTCATACGATGATCAATGCATTCGCTTTATTTGAAGACGAAACACAGGCATTATTTGGTGTGTAAGGGTCTGCCAGACGTCACCTGTGCGTTTATGTGAAAATGGTTTAAATTGCGATATGGCCGGTCCATCGAAAAGAGTTCGGTTAAATGACAAAAATTTAGAGGAAACTGACCTCAAGTGGTACAGTGAAGTTGACGACACTGCCAGTGATATAGATAGTGCTGCAGAGGACGAAAATATTGCGTCAGAACACGACACGGACTCAGACTTCTCGGCAGGCGGTGATAGTGACCAAGAAAGTGACACCCATCAGACGGACAATAAATACTTCTATAGCAAAAACCGCTTTAGATGGTCCTCTACCGAGGTTGTTCCTTCATCGCGAACTAGGAAGCATAACTTGGTGACAAAGGTTCCTGTGATAAGAGGACGAGCCCGTGATTTAGGCAACAAGGCAAGTCCCATAGCCATATGGAATTTACTTTTGTCTGCGGAAATCCTACAGCCGATTCTCGAATGGACAAATCAGAAGCTTTCGCAAATGCGCTCAGGATACGCAGATACAAATAGTATCAGTCACCTTAGAGATACCGATATAGTTGAGCTGAAGGCTTTTCTTGGCCTGTTGCTATACACATCAGTATTCAACTCCAATCATAAAAGTATCGATACAATATTTGCTACTGATGGAACTGGTCGAGATATATTCAGAGCAGTAATGAGTCGGAATCGATTTGCAGTTCTTTTGACTGCTTTGCGTTTTGATGATCTAGCTACAAGATCGATTCGTAAAAAAGAAGACCCAGCGGCAGCAATTTCGGAAATATTTTATAAATTTATTGAAAATTGCCAAAATTGTTATGGTATACAGGAGTCACTAACCGTTGACGAAATGCTTGTTAGTTTCAGAACATTTCAAAATGTATATGCCTAACAAGCCCTGTAGGTACGGGATAAAGGTGATGTGCCTTACAGGCGCCAGAACAATGCCTACATATATACTGGTAAAGACTGATGGCTTTGGGTTGCCTGCAGAGGAAAGAAGATTTTCTAAGCCGACACAATCAGTGATACGTCTTGCAAAACCTCTTTTCGGAAGTAACAGAAATATAACTGCTGACAATTGGTTCAGCTCTATAGAACTTGTTGACCTGCTAATGAAAAATGGACTAACTTACGTAGGTACACTAAAGAAAAATAAACGAGAAGTACCAACAGAATTCTTACCAAACAAGAAAAGAGAAGAAGGATCATCGTTGTATGGATTTCGTGAAGATATGACTTTGGTTTCTTATGTGGGAAAGAAAGGAAAAGCAACAGTATTAGTTTTTTCTATGCACAACAGGCGCTACACCGATCCTGAAACCCAAAAGCCAGAAATAATTTCTTTTTATAACCGGACCAAAGGCGGTGTAGATACACCCGACGAGAAATGCTCGAAAAATTCGACAAGCCGGCGAACACGTAGATGGCCGCTTGCAATATTCTTCCGTATTCTTGATGTATCTATTGTAAATTCATTCATTTTACATCAAGCTTTCAAAGAGAATGAGGTGATAAAAGATAAATCAGTATTTGCAAAACAACTGGCTGCTGAATTAGTTCGAGAAAATATGGAAAGAAGACTAGCAAATGATCGAGTGCCTCGAGTATTAGTAGAATTTTGAGGCTACCGGAAACAAACGAAACACAGAATGAAGGGGAGCTTTTGCTTACAACACGTAAAGCATGCTATTTGTGTACTGCAGCAAAACATCGCAAGACAAAGTATCTCTGTGTGCAGTGTAGACGGGCGATTTGCTTGCAGAGCTCAAAGCCTCTATGCAATACATGCGCAAAAAAGACGGTTGATTAGTTTCTGCTAGAGGAGCATTTCAGTGTTATTTTCCTTTGAGTTCTATTTTTTTATATAGCTAGGTTCCTAAAAAATGTTTCAGGCACATATTTTCCTACTTAGGTCGCTAATGTTTTTTTTGTGAGCTTTCAAGAGTACATGTTTAATTAGGTCAAGCTACGATATAGTTTTCCAGATATTTGTTGTTGTCAGAAACCAATTACGAAACCAACCGTTTTTCCTCATTTACGTGTAGTAGTGGGATCCCTATTGCTTTATACATAACAATAATAAATTATTTCCAAAAAATAACTTGTTTTACTATCTGCCCAGTTAGTAGTCTGTGAGAGCCCTCATGGATCTTTGCGTCCAGATGACTCACATGGTAGGTTAAGGGTTAAGAAACACATTTTTCAATATTTTTTCGTAAATGGAATTTAGACTGAGGCTATATCGATTTAATCGTTCCTAACGACCTTCTGTTGGTAGTAGATTTCGGAGATAGTAGATTAGGTTGCTTGAAGCATCATTTCTTTAAAATGACTCTAATGGCAGATCAAAACTTATTAAAAGATCCTAAGCCCCGTTGACAGAAAATGCATATTTTCGACGTATTGGTATAAAACTTTTTTCTGAGCTCTATTGTTTTGATTAAAGAGCAACATTCAGTTGACATTTGCCAAGATTCAAAAGTCAAACGCCACCTGGAAAAAATCGATTACTTCAAGAACTTCTTGTGACATTGACTACAGCAACGGCCTAGTATTCCGTGCATTAAACACACTCCAACTGTGACGGTGATGATTAAATCCAACGAAAACAAAATCTCAGTTCAAAGACGCAAACCAAACTTGAAGGAATGAATGTCTCCCTCTAAAAGATCATCCCTTATTCACAGAACACTCCATTATGTATTCACTTAAAACTATCCAAACATCATGGCGGGCACTTCAAGATAAAAAAATATGTCCGTCTGCCGTCGTCCAAACAGGCCGAAATCTTAAAAAAACAGTATATCATGGCTTAGTGCGGCCCAACCCTAACCGAAAACAGGGTTGTCATTGTAGCTTTACCTGCTTTTACAACTCTATTTCCATAATGTTATTTAAAAGCCACTGTTTAGGGCTGTCTGCACAAGCATGTGTCGAGAATACCGATGCGAATGGTGTTATTGTATGTAAATTCCACAGAAAAGGGTTTTCTTTATACGGGTCTTACTGGCTCAAGGAGCTATTGAAAACATTGAAGCAGGAGGATAGTATCAAAATAAAATGCATCTAGATTATAAATTGTTAATTGGAAAAGGATCATAATAGCTAATTCCATAAAACTAGTACTATAGCTTTTGTTCGTCCCACCAAAGACGGCCAACCATGGACCGTTGTTTCATGCTATTTGGCAACTCTTCAGCATGGTCTAGCCTTGGTCTTGGAACGAAAGCTGAGCAACTACTACACAAGGTGTAGAGGTTAGTTATGTTCAGATTTTGTTCGTTGTCCTACCTAGACCATACTAAGGAGTTGCCAAATAGCACGAAACGGCTATCCATGTTTAATGGCGAGTAGACCGGATCTACTATAGCAGCAGAATAGGCGGCATATTGTGGCCACAGTCATGACCCGAATGACAATGCGAACCGGGGTGCAGTTTCTTCTTATTTCAGTTAAAAACCCTTGATACAGCCTCAACTATTTACAGTGCTGAGTATATTCAAAGTGTGCTTATATCATTATGCCACTAGCTGAAAA